AGAGTTTCATTCTCGCGAGGCTCCTCCCACGGCGGTGCTCGTGACGGGGATGTTTGGTTGAGTGACGGTGCGGAAGGGGGGTGCTGGCTCACGTCACCACTGAAGGACATCTCGCCAGCACTTAAGGGTCACCAACCCCCAGGATGAAGACATCCATCTTAATACTTAGCAGGTTATCGGCATCTGTGATGGATGGGGAAGAACACAACAACTTCATTCAGAGGTCAAAAGATCAGCTCAAGTTCCATGGAAGACCATAAAATGCTATCCATGCTTTTGCATTTTGTCGCTGAAAAAAATATAATAAGGCTGATCCAATTTTAAAACAATTTATTTGTGCATAAAATACTACACAAATGCAATTGCATGGAAAGGGTGCGCATTTAATACATTCAATATTTTGAGAAAAAAATCCATTTTGGTTCTGGAAAACCTTTTCCAATAACAACAATCATAATAATAATAATAAATATTTGCAAAAATAATGCAAAAATACATTACAATTGTTTTTCTTAAATTAAGCAGGAGCCTTATGTGTCCACCAATCCAGTTCAGAATAAAATGGAACAGGACCAGAAAAAAAAGAAACAAAATATCGTTTGATATTGATGACTACTCACACTTTCAAACTCAATACTTTAGAAGACATTTCCAACTGAGGGCATGATGGCCACTGATGGAGCAAAGGTTTCGCACCCCTGCTCTAAAAGAAGATTTCACACAACTATACGTATGTCATCATGTACAATACACTTGCTAATCCATCTGGATAGGATGTGACATGTGTAATCCCTCAGTCAGCCAAAACGCAAAAAGCATGATGACAGTCAACGGACCGTGTACGCAACGCCAGCAGACTTCTGCTTTCCAAGTCGCACAATATAGCCTGTGTCAAAACAAAAGGCCATGACATTGTCAGAATCCTAAAAATGGATTGTTTACATCTCCCCCGAAACCTTAGCCGTGGAAATCGTGCTTGGCACATACAATGAGCCTGTCATTTTGCGTCAAAGGAACATACTAGTTGTTATCAGTCACTTCACAGTGCATCATTACTAACACACAGTGTCAGTGCGTTGAATGAGCTGCAGGCGAGGTGGCAGAACATTGATGTGACTGCACTACAAAAAAAAAAAAAAAAAAAAAAAAAAAAGCACAGCCATTATAAAGCAGACGGGATACATCCCAGAAAAAAAAAGACTCAGTGTGATACTCTCGGGAACACAGCTAACCCTGTACTGTAGTGTTTGAGTGCAATGTGACCTGGCACCACAGTGTCCACCATATTCTTCCTTTCTCATTGAAAGCACAGTCATTAATCACCGAGAAATCAGCCCACAATGACAGAAAATTAAGTGAAGATAAATGAGGATGAATTTCAGATGAGGAGAAATTACCACCACACCCATCCGCACACCCCACACACAAGCACTTTATTGCACGGCTTGGAGAACCCGTGTAGGGTGGCTTACATTTTTAATCGATTTACATTTTAATTGGCACTGGCACCAGTGTGGGTCCAACGATATCTCGGATTACTTCACACCATCGGCCGTAATATCAGACGTTCTTTATCATGACAGGTTAGTTTTGTAGGACTGCAACTCTTTTTGTGACTACAGTCATGCATTAGTTGAGAGGAATATGAAGAAAAAAATGTTTATAGGTTAGCTCATAATAAGACAGAATATTACCATAATCAAATTTAACACAGTTCAGAGTAAGACAGAATCGGGGGGGGGGAATTAATCAAATAATAACATAAAACACCTAAATCGCTGAAATTACATAAACGAAATACGTATGACATATCAGCTCATCTCAGAAGAAGACCATAAAAATGTAATTAAAATGAAATAAGACCATCGTTTAGTATAGGTATTTAAAAAAAAAAGGAATCTGACAATAAAATAGGACAACCCATAGACCGGCAGTTAGAAATTGATTGAAGTGAATTGATTTACTTTTTAACCCTTTCATGCACCCTGTAACCTGATAACACGAGCTGTCCACTGTGGTAACCGCTCTTCCTGAAAGGGTTAATGACTGCACTTTTCCAATCTTAATCTATATTTGTGATTACAGTCATGCAATAGGCTTGGGGTCAGCAATATAGGTAGCCCCCAAGGACCATAAGTAACCCGTGGACCTGTTCTAAAAATAGTTCACCAGTGAGACGGTCGATTTTTTTTTTTTTGTATTGCTATTAAAAAAAAAAAAAAAAACAATAAAAAAAATACCATCACGTACCGTAAGCTGTTAAAAAACGTCTTTTTTGCTATTCTTTCGTCTATCCTATTTGCTTCAATTTAAAAATGACAATTTAAAAAAAAAAAGAAAAAGTTGAAGTTCAAAGGTCAGCATCGACCAAATCAGAGCTTTCAGACAAGCGGCTGCTGCAACCAAAAGATGATTTACCCCCAAATAATTTGAGCAAATTTGTTCTTTCAAAAGTGTGTATGTAGCTGGTAGCCCTTTGGCTTAATCAGTACCCAAGAAGTAGCTCACAATCCCAAAAAGGTTGGCGACACCAGCGACAAGTTATGAAATAAATACATAAATAAATAAATAAATGACAAGATAGATTCCTCTACAATATGTAGCAGCTGTAAACTAAATCTCTCAGTTCTTGGTATTTTGTCATGTAATGTAAATTGTGCTCCCAATCATCACATATCGCCCCCCTGCTTCACTGCACGGCTTATTTGTGAATTCATGTGCACACACGTGTCCAACTCTGCTGTTCACATACTGTAAATCCCTCCTCCACTTTCTGCATGGAGATGTGGAATAACAGCAGCCGACCAAATGCTTGACCCAAGATAATGATCCCAGCCTCATTATTCACGGCTGGGCTTTATTGCGTGTATGTGCGTTACCGTCCTGAGAATTACCCCACCACATATCGCAGTCATATCTTTTCATGACAATATGTGTAACTTGTTGGCAATTCATTTATCTAAGTAGAAAGTGGATGCATATTCTTAGAAAGCAAAAATTAAAATGTGCATTTTATTTCATGAATATTGGTTGAATTAAAAAAAATATATACAGATCATTTACAAGAAAGATAAGCATGACCTTATTTTATGTGGGAAAAAAAGAAGCACTTACGTTTTGGATTTGATGCTTCAAGTAGGTGTGAATCCACAGAGGAGAGTAGCAGAAGGAGCAGAGCATCCTGAGGAGCGGAATGCCTTAGTGAGAGGCAGAACTGAGAGGACTTTGGCTATTAATGGGCTGATGGAGCCCTCCGGGTTGCTGAGACCTTCGGTGCGCCGAGCTCTGCTGTCACGCTGTGGTGATTGTATTCAATTGCATCCTGGAAATGCCGCGTGCTGCAAAATTGGACAGCGTTGAATGTTACAAGAAAGCAGCAGGGAGCATGAATGTGGATGAGAGGCACCCAGGAAACATGTTGGTTTTTTTACTTACCACTGAGGGGTTACTCTGGCAAGTGTTGGATTGTTGACACTATCGACATATACTGTATTTCATCTGCACTAGATCTCATGGTTGACAGCTACCTTGGTTATCACACTTTAAATCTTTGCATTAAAAATTTGCATTTTGTGCAGGAACAAGATAAGGCAGAAGCTTTTTAATATTTTATTTTTGTGTTTTCTTTTCTCAAGCATTTAAAGTACATAGAAGCGCATCCTTTCAGCCTTTCAAATCTATACCACAAAAATGCAAAAACTGAATAGATACAGAACAAAAAAACATGAAAAGACTTTTCTGTTGCAAGTAAATAATTTGGTGGTGTGATGTGATGAAAATTGTATATACAGGATAGTGGTGCCTTGAGATACAAGTGACTTAACTTGTTCAGGACATTTTTTTTCTTTGACTTACGAACTCACATTTCAGACATACCACTAACTCACTTCACAACAAGCAGCTATTCAACAGACTGAATGAGGGAACAATTCTTCCAAAAGAGCTCTCAAACAGTTTATTGCCAAGCTTAATACTAATGCTAACACATAATGGAAAACGCAATAAATAGATGGGCTGACAAATAGCATCAATAGTCTCATTTCCGAAACCTTTACGCTGCTGGCATTTGCACACAAACAGTGGGGCATCACATGTAGCCAGGCAATATAACAATTTTGTTGTTTAATCTTCGTGTGACCATGCTTGTATCGATTTTCCGTGTCGAAATGAATGCAAATGCAATTAGTTTCGGCCACCCCGCCCCCATTTAAAAAAAAGTTTTTCCTAATAAAAATGCATTCAATACTCTTGTACTGTATAATACACACAGTTATAAAAATTTTCTCTCTGTATAACTTCAAACACAGAAAATGAGCACAATCCTAATATTGTCCTTTCACTGCAAGGAAGCCAGTTGAAATGATGGTGGCTGAATGTTGTGAATTGTGTATGATAACAGGTATATAAAGCAGGGATAAAGTAATGGTAATACTGTGAAACTTAATTTGACAGTTACAGGAATAGGAATGTAACATTCACATAATGCACACAATGGTCTTGAAAACTATGGTTTGCTTTCATAATAACGAATAAGTAACACATCTATCTTTGTAGGTGAGACTGTGACGCACTTGTACTGTAGTTAAGGCTAATTTTTCGGGAAAAAAATATGTGCGTGTGTGCGTGTGTGTGTGTGTGTGTGTGTGTGTGCGTGCGTGCGTGCGTGTTTGCATAGATACAGTAGATGTAATGGGATGGACACGAATCAAAAGATAATTTATCCACTGTGCGCTACATGAGGGAGGAATCGAGCTTTCAATCATAGGACACAAATAGCTACACTGCTACTGTATCACACACCTAATGGCGGTTGTCATGGCAACCCTGCTTTTGGAGGGGTTTTCAAAAAAAAAAAAAACATCTTTCATCAGCATCAGCAGCAAGCTGAGGCAAAAGGAGTGTGTTTTGACTAAGAGAATAAACCAGGGATGGCGACTTAACTCTCTCAGTGCCATTGACCGCGCTAGACGTCCAATGTATTAGAATGAATTTTCATTCGCTGCCAGCCTCCCAGTTCCAATGGACATCTACTAGTAATGAACTAATTTAAGTTCATCGCAGAAAGATGAAAAGTACCGCACGATTGGATGAGTATCATCATCAATGGGACTGAAATAGTTAAATGCTGTGGTGTCACAATTTTTCATCAGCGCTATTAGGTGTGTATGTTTAATAAAAGATCCACGATCCAAAGTGTTTGAAGCAAACAACAAAATAACCACAAACTGTATTTTATTTTCCAGTGCAAAGGGCTCATGCAAAAATAAAAACAAAACTATTCAAGGATGGCACAAAACTGCTGGACAAGAAGCCAACATTAAATGCAAAGACTCGTTTTGTTTTGTTTTTTTTCACAAAAAATGGTTTGTCCTGTATGAAAAAAATACAAGGCCAACTCATGCTGCACTATAAGGCAGTATAAGACCCAGTGTAAGCGCAACTAAGACATGAAACAAATCCCCCAAAAGATTTTTTTTTTCAAAAATCAATTTTTTAATATTTTCTTGCATTAAGCAAGGAGCCACTCAGAGTGTGGTTGCCTATGCCTGGAATAGACGGTGGAATCTGTGTGCACATTTCCGCACATTTGTTGTCACACTGCCTTCACGCACCTGTCTCAAAACAGCCTTTTCAGAGCTTCTCGCCATTGGCAGGGATTGGGATGTTTTATTCATCAGCTGATGAAGGGATGGGCATACACAGATGTCAGTAAAATTCAACCAAGCATGCAAGACTTCTCTCTCTCTCTCTCTCTCTCTCTCTCTCTCTCTCTCTCTCTCTCTGCCATCCACACTTGGTTACATCAGATCTTTTTCTCCAAATTGTACAGTGCTGCCGCTACGCATGACTGCACCTTAAAAGACAAATTGAAGGAAGTGAAACCACTGTTACGTAGTTCACGCAAGTTGTACACAAAAGTATGTGATAACTGCGCTGTAAAACATTGATGTCCATTGATGTATGCTGGCTCATCATAGGGAGAAACTGGGATCGACTCTGTCATTGCCATGGCAACAAGAAATCACCTGCCCTTAAATTTCGGTGGTCCAGTGCCTCGAATGTGGTTTTAACACAAGCATCAGTGCTTATGTTTATATTTAGAGATGGCCAGCCCTTGCACAGATTTTGCTACAACCTTAACTTATAGATGACAATACACAGTTAGCATGGTAAGAAAGTGGTTAGCACGACTGCCTTGCAGTTATTAAGTTCTGTGTTCGAATCTTAGCTCTGGCCTTTCGTTTTGGAGTTTTTGCTGTGCTTGTGTTGTTTTTCACAAAAAAAAAAAAAAGTACGTGTAAGATTCATTCAAGACTCGGAATTTTTTATAAGTTTGAATGTGAGCATAAATGCTGGTCTGCAGTGGGGGGGATGTCAACACAATAAGACCAATATAAATCACTTCAAAGCCTTTCCACCCTTAATATAACTAAGTTGGGGGGAAAAACATCTTTTCAAGAGGGGAAGTAAAAATAAACAACTAAGAATTTGGTTGCATGTGTGAACATCTTCTTTTAACCGGGAAATGGCTGTGTTCATAATTAACCATCACATTCGAGGTTTATTTTCATTATTGAAAAGTAACACTAAAAAAATAAAGCTAAAAGTGAAAAAAAAAAAATTCTGTTTTGTCAAGTACTGTACCGGTAATATCATCCACGAGCTTTTAGAGCTCATTCATACGTTTCTTCACGTTACGACACAATACTGTTTTTTTTATCTTGCACTCAACTAATATTCAACATTTAAAACGTAATGATAAAACTTTCACTAACATGTTCAAAAAGAATTCTAAAACAAAATTTTAAAACAATTAAAATAAAAAATAAAATAAAAAATATATTCACTAAAAGATGACATAATTCATGGTATCCCTCTTGTTTTTCATTCCTTGCTAATAAAGCCTTAATATTATTTGTGAATGGCTTATGCACACTCCCATTTTTCCCATTAAGAAAAACCAGAAAAGGACAGCGGCCAAGTGGTGAGATTTTTCAGCCTTGCAAGCAATGAATCTCGTGACAGAGCCCAGAGGTTCCAAATCCACACACCATTTGGAGCAAGTCCCCAACAATATCTTTTATTTTTTCTGTGATTGATCTTTAAAATGCAATATTTTCTGTTTGGGTGCACTCAGAAAGTCATGATTAGTTTGCTGTCTCCTGGACAGCAAAAACATACACCTAAATGCTTAGCGCAGAAGGATTAATGGAAAGCTCAACCTACTTTCATGGACAGATTCTGCAGAAACCTCCCACTGAGTGGGTAGATAGTTATTAGAGATTGTTCACACATAAAAGTACTTGTATATGTTTTAATTAAAAATAATCCACAAATTAGTTCAAATCAACTTCAAAAGTCAGTATAAAATATAAAAACTTGCTGCTCTTGTAAACATTGGGTAGGCGAGCCAAAAGGCATTCCGATTTATCACTTGCATTGCAAATAAAAACATAAATTGTAAACAATCACATGAAACGCATATGCACTATTGCATAGTTGCTGTTCTTTTAAAGCCTTTTTTTTTTTTTTTGGCTAATGAGCCGCTGACGTGAGTAGGTGCAGCGCACTCTCATGTAAGACAAAAAAAGCTTCCGTTCTCAAAAGTCATAGCATTACATTACACAAATAAATTAAGAGTGTCAATGCCTCTCGCCGAACAGCAAGTATTGTCCAGAAGAAACTTCTTTGGTAGCAAAAACTGCACTTGAAGACTTACCAAAATGTGACTTAACCCTGTGAAACCCCATCCAACTTTTTCATACGAATGCTGGGTGGGATCAACTGGAATACCACAGCGGTAATAATATATTAAGGCAAAAGCGATACTTGTGCGCTCCATCCAGGATGTGTTCAGTGCATGGAGACCATCCTACCCTACCACCAATTCAATTATATCATGTGCAAAAATTGAAAAAAAAAGTTATTAGGTTAGTGAAGCTCTCATTTAAAATAAATATCTTTGGCTTCATTGGGTGACAACCTTCATCTTATCTGCGGTCTGTATGCAGACAAAAAAAATCATCTTAAACTAATATTTGAGCTGGAACACAAACTCCAGATGAACGGAGCGTGGTGGATGAAGGGGGCGAGTATTTCCAGTCTAGCCAATGAGTGTCTTCATGAAGGCAGGTTTACTGAAAGGCCAGTGGTACTGGTTGGGAACGGGTCCGTTCACGTTGCACTCGAAGAAGGAGAACATGGGGAACCAGATGCGAGCCCTCCGGCTCTGTTGGTAGGCGCGGGTGTTGGCCAAGGTGTGGTAGTACAGGAAAAGGCGCGTGGTGATATAGAAGGCGATGAAGACGTCGATTGAGTAGTGCTCGTGTGCCGCCAGGATGAAGAAGATCCCGAAGAGGTTCAACACCCAAGAGATGGTGTGAATTAAATTCCACGTTCTAGGAGTGTCTGCCAAAGGGGGAGTCGAAGATATTATTGTAAGATTTTGATCATTGCAATTTATTTACAACAGCAGAGCAAACCAACTTACTTTCATTTGCCTATTCAAAGCCAAACTTCGGGTAAGTCAATATCACATGTGCCAAACTAATTTAATTAACAAAACGGCCATGAGTCAAAATTTTAGCACTGTGCTGAGTCAGTGCCACATACGCCATCTGGCTGAATGTAAACAGTCATTATCACACCAAATATGTGTTATCACTAAAAATAGACATCCCCGCCCCCACTACTATGGATTAAAACGGTTTACTCTGGGCCATATGATGTTCGTCTTGTGGGTTGATTTTGCAATAAGATGTTACATGACACCTAAATCGTTCCTCTGAATGAGTCTGAATGATTAAATGTTACAGAAAATGTCATAAATGCTACACCAGTCTCTTGAAATGTAATCGGCTGAGCATAACAAGCTCAGAGACAGTGAGCCCATTTTGACATCCATGATGTGAGTCGAATATGTTTTCACAAGTGGCTGGCTGGCCTTTAATTGCTCATTATCCTGCCCTCTTTAAAATTCAAATAGTGGATTAAAAATTTATGTCTTGAGAACAAATGGTTTCCAGACAGACTGTCACAAGGATAATTATGTGCACATGTTCGTTTTCATTTATTAAAAAAAACAAAAAAAAAAAAAACAACCATTAGTTTTCATTTATAAAAAACAAAAAAAAAAAAACAAAAAAAAAAATAAACAATAATGATTTGTTCATTCTTTCATATCAACAAATCACATAACTACAGGTCGTCAAATGGATGCAGCGCACCAACTGTAGTGGAACCTCAGTTTTTGTGGTTCATCCGTTGCGGTAAGTCTGGGTCGAACCAAATAATACGGAATCCAAAACCATACATCGGAAATAATGAAATCCAAGTTATCTGTTACAGAGTCTGGAATCTAGATCCCCAAATGTATTAAGAGAAAAAAACATGCTCTGTACAGAGATTAATCAAACATTTTTTCAGTGGAATTGTTGCATTACAGTATGTGTAAGTATTCTGAGATTTTTATCTTACCCTCAGTTTTTGTGGTTCATCCGTTGCGGTAAGTCTAAGTCGAACCAAATAATACGGAATCCAAAACCACATATCGGAAATAATGAAATCCAATTTATCTGTTACAGAGTCTGGAATCTAGATCGACCCAAATATATTAAGAGAAAAAAAACATGCTCTGGACAGAGATTAATCAAACATTTTTTCAGTGGAACTGTTGCATTACAGTATGTGTAAGTATTCTGGGATTTTTATCTTATTGTCAGGTGATGAAAAACGACAATAAAAAACGTGAGATGCTCCTGCTCAATGGTTGCTTGGTTTTCTCAGTTTAGAAAAGAGTGCATTCTGCAGGCGCTTGGTGTTTGCTGTCACGTCCAGCGAGGAATGCATTCATGCATGTGGTGGGGAAACCAAGCAACCACTGAGCAGCCGCATGTCACAACACAAACGCGTTAACTCTTCAGGTCAAGACTCAGCAATTCACCAGTGGCGGAGAATATATTACTGTTATGAAAAATTGGGGGTTGAGTTCCCCTTTCATTGTAATACCATTAAAATGAATGGAAAAAAACGATTCAAAATTTAAAAATCAGATTTTTAAAATGTATTTTCCAGTATGTGATGGCTACATAATGTTATTTGTGTCCATGTGTATGACTTCAGATTCATTTCTCTCAGTCTGCTTCTGTTCTGTTCAAAAGTTGTAATATATAGTTTGAATTGTTTTCTCCGATAATAAAGATGCACCTCCGCCACACACAAAACACTGTAAGCCTCCCTAACGGCATCTGAGTAAATAAAGGCTCACGGCCACAATTTGCATAAACAAGGTAGATACGGCCAAAATGTTCCACTCACATTCTGTCACAAAAAAGTTGAGCAGGGTAATGACGACCGTGTGTCCGCTGAACATGTAATCTCCACATGTTTGGACGCCGGTCAGAGTCATCCCGAATCCGACCCAGATTGTCAGTGCCCTCTGTATCTTTTCCAACAAATTGCCGTACGTCTGAGTGAACAAGAGAGCCTAGTTAGCGGCGCGAATGCGGTGACCCAGAGCTGGAGCACAGGTCCTAAAAAACAGCTCGCAGCATTTCTAATCCGAGTCGACAGAATGCACGTGGAAACTTCTCACCTTGCTGGCGCACTTGAGGTGATGTCCAGGTACAGAGAGCGAGGTGACAAACATGGTGCAGCAGCGAAGTAAAAACACAGTTCCCATCAGAGAACACAACCGCCTTATGAGAATGGACCTAAATACAAAACAAAAGTAGGGTCGGGAGACGAAATGCTGATTGATTATTACCTCTGCCAAGCACAGGAGCGTGACAACCGATTGATTGTTGATAGCTTGGAATTGTATGGTGATTGCTTCTTGAAGCAACTGAGGCAAAACAGATGTGCTGTTCAATTGGGTCTGAAGCAGTATCTGTCTAAAAATTTAATTTCATCCCTGTTCTGTAAAACCCAACATTTTCCCATTTTTCTGTCACTATGCTGCCGTTCTGTACAAAGTGTACAAACACAGAATGGTGGGGGGGAAAAAAATTGACCGGGCAATTTTCCACCTGATGTGGAGTCAGCGTTCTCCTGCTACACTGCAAATTTTTAAGGTATTTTTTTAAAGGGCAAGTCAGAAAATGTGGGGTGTGACTTCCCCTTCTAAAGATTATTACATTCATTAAAAAATAAAAGATGAAAAAAAATTTTTTTTCAGATTGTTAAACACAGCATGTAGGTATTATTTTTGTCTAATTTTGTCCTCTTGGGGTTGCAAATCCCAAAATAAATAAATACTTATTGAGGGGGGGAAATCACGATTTGATTATTTTTTGAAATTGTTCAGACTTAGTAGGCAATATTAAGAATAATAATAAGAATACGAAAACCTTTATTCGTCTCACAATAGAGAAATTTCCAATTTACAGCAACAAAGTGATGACAGGAAGAAAGTAGAACAACAAAAAGTAGAGGAGCTGCTTTGAAGGCAGCCACTCTCGCGGCACCAAAATAATTACAAAATTATTATTTTTTAAATTAGCTAACATTAATAAGTTTTCCTGTGTTTAGCTATCACTGACGCATTGTTGTGGCACACATCGGACTTGATCTTCTTTGTCAAGTGGGAAATAATCTCAAAATTTCAGTATTTGTCTGATACAGACTCTTCATTTTTGCAGTCCTGTGACAGGGGTATAAAATTTGACCCTCACTTCTTCTGCACTGTTGGATTTGAAAGCAATGGCCATCCAAGAATTTGAGACATGATGCTGACGTCATCTAATATCTGAACGCAGGACGGATGCCCTGTCGCACAGTCGAGGCAATATCTCGCTTGGCTAGGCTCTGTGTAAAAGGCGCAGGCGGATAAATGCTTCTCTGTGGCTCCGTTCTGCCAACTTTATGGATTCTTCCATTCTGGAAAGAAGCTTTAGTGGTGCGCAAGAAGGCATTCAATTTAGAAATCCGGATAGACGACTTTATCCTCTCTTTTCACCATTGTGTCTCAATGGGAGGATTCCTCCCACATCCTGGGAGTCCCATCAGTCTAATCCTAACATGTTTTGTCATTTTCTATAAGACACAAAGTAGCCTGCTAGTTAGCAAACGGGCAAACCAAAAAATGCAGTGCCCCACCATTTTCCCCGCCCACATGTTGGAAGAATGCATCTTGTATTTCTCCCTTCTCAAATCCATACTATATAGGTATGATATTATCAAGTGACATAAACCCACCCCATGATTCACTTTTATTGATCCAATTTTTGGTTGCACCGAGACTACTCCAGCACATGCTCCCCACTGCAGTGTGCTCAGACCAAAAGAACAAAAATACAGCACTCACTTTTGTTCGCAGAATCGCTCCGATTTTGAAATTGGTCCAGTCCTCTCACATTTTGTTATGTGAGCTGTGTGATCAAGTTAAATTGCAGCACTCTTGTGATTTTTGGTTCAGGACTGTGCTATGTTTTCACTTAAGTAGAATTCACTGTATGTCATGAGTTGAAACTCGTTTTTTTCATGGGGCTCGGGTCTACGCACTGAATGAAATGTGTGGTGACTATATGCAAGTGGGGTAACATTTTAATGGGGAGGAGGACTTAGGTGTTACCTGTGTTTATGAAGCAGCAGGATCAACATAAGCATGTAGCACAGGATGAGTCCGCAGGCTTCAGCCATTGCAAAAGCCCAAGGGATTCTCGGAACACTGTCAGGGGTGAAAATACATCAATGTCAGCATGCAGATTAGATATGGGGACATGGTGCACATGAACCAAGGCTAAAATAGATATACCGGTATAAATTTTACAAACCAGTTTTCTGAATCAATGTAACTTTCTAACTTTGTGGAGATTTTTTTTTTGACGGTTAATCCCAGGGAACTGAAGCTAGGTTTTATTTAAAAATATGACAAAAACAATTTTTTTTCTTTTTCTTTACATTGATTTATTATTTTTTTTTAAGTTCTGTTGTAATATCAATCCGTCCATTTTATGAACCGCAGTATCCTCATGGGGGTCGAGGGACATGCTGGAGCCTATCCCAGCTGTCTTGAGATAGTAGCCGGGGTACACCCTGATCTACTTGCCAGCAATGCGCAGGGCGCACATAAACGAACAACATTTCACGCTCACAATCACGCCGAGGGACAATCTGGAGTGCCCAATCAACCTGCAATGCATGTTTTTGGAATGTGGGAGGAAACCGGCAACAGTCATTGACAATCATATCTCTCTCAAGTGACGCGAACCACTCCCAGTACAACACGCTACTACTTTTGCCGATTGTGTTTTGACTCTCTGTTTCGCGATTCAATGTGTATTAATGGGGCTCAATTTTGATCCGCAAACTGCAATGCGAAACCCACTTATTTTAAGCCTTGTGGACCAGACTGCACAATCTCGATATTGTTTATCATGGTGCATGTAAAGCTGATACCTGTCCAAGAAGATGTCAGGAAGCGGTGGATAGGTTCTCATGTCTGGAACACGCTCGTGTACGATGACCATAACAAAGGAAGTAAAGCCAAACACTAAAAAGACATAAATGACACTCAAGATGGTCTTCCACACCTCCGGGTCAAGCCTTCCGGCCAGGTGCTGCCGACATCTTCCGTTGGAGTGAGTGTGACGCAGCGGCGCTCCAGAGCCGTATTCGGCTTGGGTGCCATTCCTCTGTCGGAGCGCAATGCCATTCCCGGTGAACTCTCCTCCGTTGCAGTGCCTGTCGCCTCTGTCCCAGGTCCAGTCGGCCGCCGGGAGACTGTCACTAGGCTGGAGACCTAGCTCCTGCACCTGAGCTTGGTTCTGTCTCTGAAGCTGGCGGAGGGATATGGCCAGCCTCTTGATGTCCCCCAGCACGGTGAGGCTCAGAGGAGGTCCGCGTAGGTCAGCCTCAGTCAGAGCCAGGAGACTGGGCCCATCCAGGCGGTGGTCAGCACACAGCAGATCCACATAGTCGGCGAATCCTTCCGCCTGCAGCCACTGGGCCACCTGCTTACAGCTCCATGCACTCACACCGCTCTCTGATGCCATGCCTCTGCAGACAGACACACAACGCTTGACGATACAGAGGACTCCATGATTCACCAGATGCTTTGAAAGGGACCATTCAGAGCATGCAGGAGGCTACGCTGACTGATCAAAGCCTCCTGACGCCTTCCAACGTCATCACCACTTGAAAGAAACGACAGGTTCATTACATCACTTAAATAAGCGTAACTGAATGAATAAGCCCATTATTTAGACCTTAATCAGGATAAAATTGGAGATAAAGATATTAGCCGACAGGGAGCAAGTGTTGTTTTCATCATCGCTTATTATGCAACCAGTGCTTTATGTATGGGAATACAATATAATAACAATATAAGATGCTAGCTTAATGTTGACACACAATTAAAAATGCCAATCATCAATGTCTTAGTGTTGTAACCCTTTCACACTGAATACAAACGGTGCAGCCACACATGTAGTCAGACACTATAATATGTGTGTGTGTGTGTGTGTGTGTGTGTGTGTGTGTGTGTGTGTGTGTGTGTGTGTGTGTGTGTGTGTGTTCAGAAATCTGGGAGAACTTCATAAAGAGTGGACTGAGATCCGGATCTCTGAGATGGTGATAGCACATTTTGTTTTGTTTTCTTTTGTTTTGTTTTTTTCTCAAAAACCTGGACAATGTTGTTTTTCTTTTATTAACACCATCCAAAATGTCATTAATTTAAGTGTCATTAATTTAAAACAAAATTCCAAAAACATTAACCTGAGAAATGGTAAAAATGCTTGTCAATGGATGAACATTTACATTACAATTTTAATGTTCCAGAGGTGATGTAAGAGGTACGTAAGTCAAGATGATTCACGTGATGATTAGCTGTTTGTTCACTCCTGCCGGCTAGATACATCCTCTGCATTCTGATGACTGCTTATTGGCTATGATCTTTGTGGCATCAAAGATTGTATTTTTCATTAAAAAAAAAAAACACAGTTGGCAGCAGTAATTAATACCCCAGTCAGGTGTTTGCTTCCTGCTACTGAAATGCATTCAGATTATTAAGAAAAACTGTCCTTGCCCTTTAACCTTAGATAAGACCACCACAGCGCAGCCTGTTGAGCTCCTCCCTACGGCTCAAGGGTCAACCAGACCAGAATAACATGAACAGAATACAGTAAATACAGGGCTCCACATGCTGATGGACAGTGTACCCAGAGTCAACACGTGTCAGTACATCTTGTCATGCGTTCAGTTTTTGAGATACATTTTACTGTGACAGCTGGTTTGCCAAGGCAGGAAGAATGAAATATTATTCCCAGATTAAATTTGGAGACAGTGTAATTGAATCATAACACAATATCAGTCATAATTAAAATAGGATTGCATTTCATCTTTAACAGTGATGCAAATCATGACCGTCAGTATTTCTCAGATTAATGACATTGTCAGTATCGGGTCTGTAAAGCAAAGTCAAAATTACATGAACATGTTTTTTGATAGACAAAAATGCTACCGCATTTTGAAATTTAGCTTTCCAAGACTTCTGCCCTAAATTCCTTTAAAAAAAATCGATGTTATCGGTCACGCCCCAAAGGATGTCACATGACGCAAGCAGCTGAAAAACAACAGCAGCAACATCAACAGAAACTCCCAAAAGGCTGGACAGATTACTTGTAGACAAAACTAAGAGACTTAAAGAATTTCATTTTCCTTGCGATTAATAACCTAGCACTGCAATATCCCATTTAAGACGTCTCATTTGTTGTCCTAATATTAGGGCTTATATTTTATCCCCATTGAGAGATTGAAAGGTGGAAGGATGGAAGGGTGCAATTACATAACGTTCCAGGTCTCATTTACAAAAACAACAACAACGTTTATCAGGGAAAGCATACTGTATAGTTTAACTCCTACAAATGTTCCCATGATAACTTAACCACTCCGATTAAAGAGAAACTCCCAAAAGGCTGGACAGATTACTTGTAGACAAAACTAAGAGACTTAAAGAATTTCATTTTCCTTGCGATTAATAACCTAGCACTGCAATATCCCATTTAAGACGTCTCATTTGTTGTCCTAATATTAGGGCTTATATTTTATCCCCATTGAGAGATTGAAAGGTGGAAGGATGGAAGGGTGCAATTACATAACGTTCCAGGTCTCATTTACAAAAACAACAACAACGTTTATCAGGGAAAGCATACTGTATAGTTTAACTCCTACAAATGTTCCCATGATAACTTAACCACTCCGATTAAAGCACCATACAAAGCAAACCCTCAAAAAAAAAAAAAACTCTGGCAACGAGAGCAGCCCTCTGGGATGGCCTGCGTTAAGTTTCAAGACTTGTTTTGCTTGTTGAGTCACACACTGACACAGAAGACGTGATGAGACTCAATTGCACAATATAGGACTTTCAGCCTGTAAAATAACTCGGAAGATTCCTGCAAACACTGAAAATCAGAAGAACAACCGCAAACACACCCTGAGGGGCTAACCAATACATAGTGGGAGAAACTCAGGACAGTATAGTAACGTGCTTTCTATTTGTTACTACAGTAACATAATAATAAACAACTGTGTGAAACTAAACTGAAACCAAACAAAGACGGGAGGTCAAACGTGTGCAGGTGTAAACAAAATACTTTTGGGAAGAAGTAGATTTTTTTTTTCTTACCAAAGAACCAGTGTCAGTGCTTGTGTCAGAGTGGGGAGAAGGAAGAGGTGAGCCGTCTTCCTCTCGCATTGCAGGAGTGTTTCATGCCTTCTACTTTCACAACCAGGCAACAGCAAACAGGAAATGGCAATAACCAACAACAGCAGACAAGAGGAGCCACAAACGTCTCTTGGGAGGTATGTTTCAGCGCACTGCCATCTGCTGTCCAAATGTAGGAAGATGATTCCCGTTGACTGAAACAATGCCTCTCGACATAAAAAAAATTAAATAAAAATATAGAAAATGACGATAAATGCTGTGATAATAATAAAAATGCCGTATCAAATGATCCATTTTATGATTAAGTAAAGTCATAAAATATAAATGAATATATTCATTCATTTTTTCCCCTCCCCAAGGGTATATGAAGGCCCCAAAACTGCAGTCTCGATGGAAGCTTTTTCTGGTTATGGATACAGATTTTCCTTGACCATTACTTGAATGACCCATGCTCAAAATATTTTTTTAAATGTATTTTAATACGGCACTAAAGTAGTTAAAATTAATTCCTATTGTGAGAATCTCCGAAAATTATTGTGATAGGCAACATCACAAATTTTTGGGGGGCTTACTATAATTTTTTTTAAAACAATGCAATCATTCCTGCATTCAATTCAAATTCGACGAATCCTGATGATTTATCACTTTCATATACTGTACCCTTTTGCTATTATATGGGGTGTTCCCAAAGCAATGTTTCCCAACCTTTAAGCTGTGGCACACATTTTGAAAACAGTCCCATGAAAGTCTTCCCTCTGCCAAACAACCCCACCTGTCTTCAGCAGTCAAATGGCACGAAAGTGCATAGAGGGCAACAGAGCATGTGAGTGTTTTAGTTTTAGGGTTTAAAAAAACATCTCCTTTGCTTTATCATGAGTGGTGTGCCACCAGTGAAATGCGACACTGAAGACTCCGGGAATGATTATGTGAGAGAAGATGGCACAGACGGTGAGCATTCGACAACAGAGCTCTCTCTCAAGGAGCTGGTGGAGGTTTTACATGCAGCGCCTCACTCCTGTCGTCATGGAGATGAGGTGTGGCCCAACCTATACCTGGGAGACATGTGAGTGTACTCTGTAGCAAGCCGAAACTGTCAAAACCTGGGGGCCTCATGTCTGTCAGAATAATGCTTGGAACAAAATAGGCAGTAATAAGTGCATACGTGATTTTTGGTACGCCCCGCATATGACTTAGATAGGATGTCTTTTTTTGTTGTAGGTTCATGTCTCATGATAAATTCCGACTGTGGACGCTGGGCATCACTCACGTGCTGAATGCATCACATGGTAAACTATGTTGCAAAGGCAGCGATGACTTCTACGGAACCACGGTGAAATACTACGGCGTGCCAGCCAATGACCTGCCCACATTTGACATTTCACCTTTCTTCTACCCTGCTGCTGCCTTCATCGACCGCGCTCTGACGTCAGGAGGTAATGTGTGATGCTGCTGTGATAGCCTCCCTGAAGGTGTTGGAACAACTTCCAATAAATCGCTTTTCTCACCAGGAAGGATACTGGTGCACTGCGCTGTGGGTGTGAGTCGCTCAGCCACGTTGGTCCTTGCTTACCTGATGATTCACCATCACCTCACACTCCTGTCTGCCATAAAGTGTGTGCAGCAAAAACGCTGGATCTTTCCAAACAGAGGCTTCCTGCAGCAGCTTATGCTCCTCCAGCAAACCCTGCAGAGCAAAGGAGAGACCGTACCAGAATAAAAGTCCATCAAATACTGCTTTATTGCTTATTGATCAATTCACCACGTGCAAAATCGAGTAGCCTATGAATTTATAATCTACTGGAATACGATATGAGATGTTAAATTAACACAACTTCAAATATGATCCAATGAGGAATATTGATATCTGAACACATTACAGTTTCAGGTAGCAAAAGTGGTTATATAAGGGGGCCAATTATTTAAATGTGGTTGCATGACTTCTACGAGGCAATATTAATATACAGTACAGCAATTTACTTGTGTAATGAAATTTAAAGATGTTTTAATGTGTAAAATAATTGCACAAAAAATGTACACAATTGTTTAATAAAATAATTATTTGAATTTAAAAACATGGAAAGAAAATAATCAAATTGTGTCAAAATGTTTAAAAAAATTTGAGTGCCCTATAAATGATTCGAATTGCTTCTAAACTTATTAGAATTACATGCAATGCAGAAGAATATGTTTTGTTACCATTGCAGTCAACAGTGCAGAGGTGCAGGGTTCCATTACGGCTCCTGGCTTCCTGTGTGGTGTTTGCTTGTTCTCTATGTGCCTGTGTGGGTTTTCTTCGGGTACTCCGGTTTCCCCCCACATTCGAAAAACATGCATGACAGGCTGATTGAGCACTCTAAATTCGCAATAATTTCATAAAAAATATATACATTAGATAGCTGACAGAATTTTACTTTTGTGTTATGACAATCTTCAACCCTAATAAAAACTGAGCCGTAATCCCGATCATGTCCCAACCTGCAATTTGGCCAACACCTGTGTTCATGATTTTATACCAGTTCTCATTCATGGAAGAATAGCTTCCAAGTTTCGCTACTTTTAGTCAATATGCTTTTTGTGTTGAAGTATGAAAATCAGTAGAGAGGAAGTCTCAATGTTGGAGTGACCTCTTTTTCTTTGACTTCTGGCTGTCATGCAACGTCAAATAACGACACAGAGCCAAAGAAAGAGCAGTGAGCTAATTTTGGAGGCCAGCAATGTCCATACAAGCAGCTGCTGGGGTCCTTCAGCGAGCTGCGAGCAGACTTTGGCAGTGAAGTGACACTCTAGTCTCTCTCACTCACTCACTCACTCACACACACACACACACACATACGCACACACACACACACACACACACACACACGTTGTGGCGCTTGGAGAGGAGATAATGTCAAGGCGTAAGGAGCAAAAGGACCTGGCGCTCATTAAACAAGTGGAACTCATTTTGGATTCCTGCACACTGGAGCTCACTGCAGTGGATGAAGTCTGGCCAAACCTCTACATAGGAAACATGTGAGTCACGCCTCAGTTGAGTGCAAGGTTAGTGCAGTTTAGGGAAGTTGAGAATACAAACTTTAGAATCATTCTGATTGAGATCAGCTTAATAATAGAGAGAGTTGCAGCCATTCAAACAATGACATTGAAAATATATGTGGTGGTATGGAATGAAAATAATGTAGTTGTTCCAGTTCATTAAAGTGGCTTTGTCTCTGTTCTCGTATGTTTTGCTAGAGCTGTAGCACAAAATAAAAAGACTTTATCCAAGCTGGGCATCACTCACATCCTGAATGCAGCTCACTCCAAGCAGGGAAGCATCGGGGACCAACGCTTCTATGGCGACGCTTACGTTTACTGCGGCATACCAGCAGAAGACTCGGACCACTTTGACCTCAGTCAGTATTTCAAACCCGCAGCGGACTTCATCCATAAAGGCCTAAAGAAGGACCACGGTGAGCTTGTGTCACAGACTCTCTGTATTTGTAATCTCGCTTTTGACTTTCTTCCTGCAACTTTTCAGGGAAAGTCCTGGTGCATTGCATTATGGGTGTAAGCCGCTCAGCCACACTGGCGCTGGCTTACCTGATGCTGCATCACCGTCTCACCCTCCACGATGCTCTGAGGCACGTCGTGCAAAAACGTGCCATTTACCCCAATCGGAACTTCCTGATGCTCCTCCACAAGCTGAGTGAACAGTTGGCATTCAAAAGGAGGTTGTGTCCCCTCCTTTGATGCGACATCTCCTTTGTTTTCACCTCCTTTCCGCTACGATTCCCTGACAAACATCTTGCATGGACAACACTTTGAAGAGATGTTTTGGGTTTCTCTATTTTTCATTTTAATCGCACATTAAAATATCCGCAACTTTGTACATACTGTATTACTTCACAGCATTTTAAGAAACACAGTGATCTTGTTTATCAGTGGTTATATTAAGAATGCACACTGTTTTTGCTTGTTTTTAACCGCACATACTAACCTTAACTATGGGTTATGTCCATAGCAATTGTCATAAAAATGGTGTAAATTGAATTCAATGTAAAAAACTCCAAATTGTATTGCATCATTGATCTACAAATTGTCCCATCCCCAACTATGCAACTGCTTTTTGATTACTTCTATTCAAATGGTATAAAAGATAAAATCATACAACCATAGAAAATGATCAAATCAATGACAATGAATGATCCATTCGGATAGGGTAATTAAATATACGTGTATAATAATCACAATGTTTGATAATATAAGTGTAAATGTTATGTTCGTTACTGCATCTAAATATCATGTATCACAGTTTTCTATTTCACTGATGATATTCTTATTTCATATTATTATTGTTGTTATTACTTAAAATGAATACCATCAATACATTTTATGTACAACATTGTGTTTTAAGTAGTGCCAAATCATTTACACGTTTTCCTCACAAGGCCAAAGGTAGGTCATGTGATCCAAGAAAATGTCAGTTGCAGTCATAGTCACACAAAACAACAACAACATGATAGCTGAATCATATAAAATACCACAAATTCATTTCAACACATATTATCTGTACATGTTCATTTATCCTAAAAATAGAGCATACAGTACTGGTGAATGTCAGTTCTTCTCCAAGGAGAGCAGACGTGTTCCCCATCGACGTGTTACATAACAATACACACTCGTGGAACTAAGTGAGGCGACAAATGTTAAAGTTCATTGGATAATGCCACTTTGTTTTTCTGTTGAGAGGACCTGCGGGGGGTTGTCACGGTGGTCTGTTTGAATCTGTTGTAGAAAATCTGTCTTGATTTTGTCATGAGTTTAACGCTCAAGTGCTATCAAAGGAAGTCGATGATTTTCATAGACAGTGCATTTGTGCCTTGATCTTGTGTTTTGTTTATTATGTTTTTTTTTTTTGCAGCATCATAAAAATAATAAGGTGATACATTAACAGAAGAAATTGCTACAGCCACTTAGATTAGTTAATATACAGTCCATTCTAAGGAAAATACTCATTTTAAAAGCACATATAATTCCGTGTAGTTTTATTTGTTGTGCATGTGTGTGTGCTTAACTAGAAAGTCTCTGAGGGATGCACCACATGAACCCCCCCACTGCGATAGAGCTCTCTGAGCTGCTGCTCAAAGACAGACGACTCATAGGACATGTCAATCAAGTGTGGTCCAACCTTTACATTTGCAATAAATATTTGCGCGCGCGCGCGCGCACACACACACACACACACACACACACACTAACCCGACTTAATCCATATATTAATACCACCGGATTGCAAACATAGACACCATCAATACGTTATAAAAATTGCGAAATAACAGCAAGGAACGGTGCCATTTACATCATCCGGAGCAGTTCAGTCCTTTCATCTTAAGTCACATTCCATGTACCGGGAAGTAGCCTGCTATCTAGCGAACACAAAGGCGAATCACCACAATATTGGCACTCTACGATTTATTTCCCATTTGAATTGGAATATGTGTTCTACCCTTCCATATAATGTAATTCTCCACGAACCAGGAAATAGCCTGCTAGTTTACACACAATTACTTTATTTTTAATGAAGCTGTTATATTTCTGGGTACCAACTCAAACAAAAAACAAATGTGACAATAGTGTATTAGTTCTACAAATGGTTCGCGATCTGCTGTTAGCTGAGCTCAAACACATTTGTTTAAAACATGCGAGATTCTTAACATGACTGTGATGTAACACGTCGCTACCTTTAAACATTTTGTGTGCCTCGTATTCACTGTCATTCACTACAGGAGGTGTCACAAGGTTTGAAACAAGCAGTTGTTGTCACGCTGATGTGGGGGGTCATGGCGGGCAGAGGCCTAAAAATATCACGTGAAACACAGAGAGAGCAGTTAGCATGTGTCCTCATGCCGACTGTGAAGGAACAGGTCCTGTTTGGAAACAAATCACAAATTTCACACGACTGCAGTACGTATATGACAGGTAAGTGATCTTTTTTTTCTGCTTTATACTCGGCTTCACACACTAATAATGATAAGGAGGATCTTGATGGGTTGAATATTTTTTGGCTTTGAGAACAGTCCCTTTAAGGCAGTGGTTCTTAACCTTGTTAGAGGTACCGAACCCAACCAGTTCATATGCACATTCACCGAACCCTTCATTAGTGAAAAATAAAAATATGTTTTGTTTTGTTTACAAATTCAAGACATAAAAAACACATTTATTAAAAACAGAAAAATTTAAACACAATTAGTATAAGTATAAAGAATACGTTTTTTAATTGTGCACAAAATGAACCAGCCAGTGATGGCCAAGCGGGCTTGTCATAACTAATTGACACGTTGAGTCGTGTGTGTCTTAACCTCCATGGCAGAGGCTCTGTCGAACCCCTGAGACTGATTCACCGAACCCCGAGGGTTCGATCGAACCCAGGTTAAGAACTACTGCTTTAATGTTTAACTTGTTTTTAGAATTGCATACTACGCCATATGAAATCTTCTCAAGGGACGTAAATGGCTAACAGGCCACAGGATCCGAATGAGACCGATTATAATGCACAAGCTTGAATGACATCCTCAGATACTTTTGGTTTTATTGATATGTGGAGGTACATTTGCAGTAATAATTTGCAGATCTGTTTCTTACAATATATTCAGTGGCGGTTTCTGGCATCAGCATTATGTGCGGTCGCACAGGGCAGCATTGCTGGGAGGTGGCAATGTACCCCCCCCCAAAAAAAAAGATATTGCTACATGTCATGGATTGTCATGGCATGACATGTCAATCACTGGCATTTGTATGGGGACTTTGCACTCCTGCATGAACGCGCCTACTATAGAAGAGATACGAGTCTAAACAAGGAGGAAAGTGGAAAAACTAAACTTAAAAACATCTACAAGAAAACATCTAACTAGTTTAAGTTTAAATCATTATTTTCGTACATATATTATTTTCCTTGGTGCTTACAGGTGAACCATGTCCTCCTGTGGAGTAAAATCAAGAGGAAAGAACCCCTACATGGCAGTTCAAGTGGACCCAGACAGTGATTACATCACACCAGGTACTCTAGACCTGGAGCAGCTTTTCTGGACTGGCAGCGGTGTTCAATATGCACACTTCAACCAAGTCTGGCCCAATGTCTTCATCGGGGATGAGTAAGTCAACACGCACAAACTGTTGGCCTATTCAGAAAGAAAGAAAAGGAAAAGAAATCATGACTAGAATTGATTTTCTAAACAAATTCAGCGGTATGTGTTGTTTGGGAAACAGGAAGACGGCTCTGGAGCGACCTGGTCTGAAGGAGCTGGGTATCACGCATGTGTTGAATGCTGCGGAGGGGAAGTACAACAATGTGCTGACTGGTGCAGAATATTACACAGACATGGACATCCAGTATTTTGGGGTGGAGGCCGACGACAAACCCACGTTCAACATCTCGCAGTTCTTCTACCCGGCGACACGGTTCATCAGCGAGGCCCTGGGACAACCACAGAGTAAGTTAAGGGTGCAGTCTTGAGACTGAAGTAACAAAGTAGCATTACAGTACTTCATTACCGGACTGAAATGAGTTTATATATTTCATTTGTCTATTCCGGGTAAGGCAATTGAGAACAGATTCTCATTTGCGATGCTGACGTGGCTGCAGACAGAGGAGTAAAACAAAGTACAGTTCAGTTGTATTTAACTTCCAAGATAAATACAACTGAACTGTTTGTTTTTAAACATTTGATAATATTTTTATGTGCAGCACATTTACATTTTTTAGATGTTACCCAGAGGGAAAAAAAAAGTTTAATACACACTACATTTAGCAAGCATAAAGAAAAAAATCAAATGAAAGCAAGCCTTAGCTATTTGCCACAACCATTCTCCAATTATTCTCATCTTTTGACTGGTTCCAGACAAGGTGTTGGTGCACTGCGTGATGGGTCGCAGCAGGTCAGCGTCACTGGTCTTGGCCTACCTGATGATGGAGCAAGGCTTAACAGTGGTGGACGCCATCGAGCATGTGCGACGCCGCCGTTGCGTCCTCCCCAACCACGGTTTCCTGAAACAGCTCAGAGCTCTGGACATCACACTGCAAGAGGAGAAGCTAAGACTAAAACGACAAAAGACGCAAGATCAACAGTCGTGATTGGGATCACATTTTAAAAGGGGTTTGGGGTCCACTGAGTTTCATATCTCATTTTTGTCTCAGCAACCTGCTTTCTTGTAGCAGTGAACGTGTTGAGTAAATGTGCAAGTGATGTGTGGTTGTTAAGTGGTACTATAGGTTGGGAGGATGTTGTTATAGAGGACATCAGTGGAGATACAGTAACTTAAGAAAAAGGAAGAATCATTTCTAGATTTTAGACTACTTTTTCTGACCAAATAGGCAGATCGACGCAGATATTGTCTATGAAATTCACAAACACGCTGAACTTGATCATTGACCCCTGCAAGAAAATGACGATGTGCCCATTTCTACTACTTTCCGTTACCAAATTGTTTATATAGGTCAGGGACGAAACGCTCAGACAGGCGCAGTCTGTATTGTTAACTTTAGAAAGTAGAAGAAAATAAAAGGAATAAAAAATATGTTTTAACACAAGCTGATGTTAAAAGGGCTTACACTTACCTTACCTTACACGAGCTTCAGACTAAAATATGAGTACTGTGGAAGAATTGATACTTTTATTAATGCATCATGAAATGTCTTAAATTCATCTCATTTACCTTTAAAAAGGGTTGAAATGTTATCAGCAATGCAATGTTGAAAAATTGAACAACAAAAGGGGAAAAAAATCCAACACTCATGAATTTTTTTTTTTTTTCATTGTATTTGTCCATGCTCGACAAAGTCCGGCAACAACCAGAAAAAAGGGTCACTTGAGGCCTCTTGTTTGGGTACATATTGCGGAATAGGATGGAACGGGATTGTACATCCAAGATTTTAAAACAATTGCAATAAAAGGAAGAAAACACCATTGTGCATCATCAAAAATTGTCACACGTGTATTCAAGTATTGATTGATCCAAATCAAACACAAAGAGATCAAAATAAAATCTTATGCCAATGTGACAATAGTGCATTTATGTCGAATTAAACAAAGCCGAGTCTTGAGGTACTTGGAAAATGGGTAAAACAAAAACAAAAAAACTGCCACAATGCCCACAATTATCCTTTGATTGTTGGTCTTTGGTTCCAACAGTACTAGCATATGTGCACTATCACTTTGAATACTGATGACAAAAGTCTTTCAACGTTTGCAACAAAGAATAAAAGGCACTCATGATTCGCACACTGTTGAATGTCACAGTTCTGTTTCCTGTGGCCAGTGGCTTTGACACTTACTGATCATGCATTTGAAAGAAAAAAAATGTGTCCTGTCCTTAACTGGCCTAATCAAATCACGCCACAAATTAATTAATTAATTCTTTGATTTGCTGAGCTTGCATCTGAATGACTGACAAATCCCTATTAATAGTCCCTGCAGCGCAACCAGGTGGAAAAAAAGAATACATCCTCATGTGAGGTGGCACAAAGGTAACAATTAAAAAGAAGTCAGATGGCAGGTTAAAAAAATATATCTGATGGAGGGGGAAAACCGGGATAAAAAGCATTCCGGGTGACATGTTTGTGTTCAACGATGGACATTTTTGGGGTGAAACAGAAGAACAATAAAAACACATCAAACAAAGTCTGGCTTTTCAGGGAACGTGCAACCCAATCTTCTAATGATGACGTTGGCAGCATAGTGAGCTGCTCTCACGCATTGGTCCAGTGTTTTTTCTCGGACCAGCCCAGACAGGAAACCTGAGAAACAGAAGGAATTTTTTTTTTTTTTTTTGGTTTCAAAACTGGGTAAACACACTGTAACCTAACAAGACAGAGAAGCAAACATCGCAAGCTCTCACCTCCTACAAAGGCGTCACCAGCACCGTTTGTGTCCACTAGGTCTTTGGGATCAATTGCCATCACTGGAAAGGTCTCAATTTTATCACCTGAACGTAAAGAGGAGAAATAATTACACCTCAAATACAGGATTGCTTTATTTGAGGGGTGGGGGGCAGCAATGGAAATCTTACTGAGAGCCATCACAGTTTCATCCGTCCCCTGAGTCAAGACAACAATCCTTTGTCGCTTGGTGTTGATTTTGGGCAGGGCCTGCACTTTCTTGGCAATCTCCTTAATGTCTTTGGTCTGCAGAGATGTGACCGCATGGCGCATGTTTTATACAAAGTGCATGAAAGTGCAGCGGCGATAACAGGAGGGACATTGAATCACCTCAAAAGCTTGCTCTTTCGCGAATGCGGCTGCCTCCTGTAGGACAGAATAAAAAAAATAAATAAATAAAAATCTTGAGTTAATGTTTGTTGATCCTCACATGGAAAAAATATGTCACAAATTTTAATCTGGCACAACAAGCATTTCCATTATCAACAGTCTTGGTGCTATATCCCCCCCCTCCTAAAATTGTGAATGAAATCAATAAATTTTAGACATTTTGTGAGGGAAAGGAAAAAGAAACAATTGAAATAATGCGGTTGCACACCCTCCAAAACAGGGAACTGGCTGTGTTTGGAATTAACCAATCAGATTCACTCATTTTCTCTTGGATTCACAAAATGTAATGTGCCTCTGATTAACCACGAATAAAGTTCAACTGTTCTCGTCGGCTTTTCTTTGCATTTTTTTAAGTAAGTGACTTTTACTTTGAACTGTCCACGATTCCCTCAACCTTGTCTAAATTCCACCTGGTTACCTCAGACCATAACAAACTCTCCCAAACACAAGTGACAATGTTATTATGGTTCAATGAAGCCAGGTTGAACCTTTTGGCCAAAAGTTCCAAAAGTTTCTAAACAGAAAAAAAACAACTAGGCTTCAAGAATTAGCTTTCCGTGCAAATCACTTCATCAATACATTGTTCTATAACCGCTGTTTCTGAGGATTGCTTTGCAGATGTGCCCAACTGGGCATCTGAAAACTGCTACTCCAGCCTAAGATGATGAGACAAAATTCCACAATTACTCTGGAAATCTTTAAGACACCTATGGGAATCCAAGCTGTTGACAAGAAGCCCCTGTGAAGTCCAGTTGTTGGAGGGAAAAAAAAAAACTGATGTGTCGAAGAGGCAACAATTTGTCAAAGGACACACTCACTGGCCCAAAAGCGAAATTGAGCAATTTTGTGGACTGATGAAAGCAAAATTGCTCTTTTGGGGACAAAGAGGGACTGCAGACAGTTTGTCAGAAGAAAAATACGCTGCCATAATGCTATGGGGATGTTTCTCATTCTGTCGTGCTGGACCAATTTTTGGTTAACCAGGAGCCATGGATCAGTTTGAATACATCAGAATATTTGAAGAGGCAATGGTTCCTCATGCTGAAGCAGAAAACAATGAGTCCAGGCGCACCTGTCAGCAGACCCGATTCCCAGACCATAACACAATACAGAACTTGTAGTGCCAAGCCAAAAAATTCAGAATGTAGTGTAATCATGTTGTGTCAGAAGTTGGAGGTCAATTCCATGCAACACAGTCACTTACTTACCTTCCAAAAAGTAATAACACATTGGCTACATTTTATTCATGTTTGATTTGGAATAGTAGAATGCGCGGTGGCCCCTGTGCATTTGCGTGTACAGAAATAAAAACTATAATAAAGATTCAAAATTTTTTTGCTTGACTCCTTTTGTTTTTCACACAGTGCTATTATTCGGAACCCAAGCGCACATACAAATACATATCAGGTGGAAAGCTGCCTTACCGTCTCATTGCCGAAGAGCACGTCCACGTAAGGCAAGAGCTGCATGAGATGGTCCTTGAAAAACTGACAGATGAAGGGTGCCGACAGGTTGAGGCAGAACAGTTTGTTATTTTCCGACGCGTGCTTGGCGACTTTCAGCATGGACTCCAAAGACACTGTGACAAAGAAACCCTGGAAGGAAACGGTCAACATCTGCATCAATACATGTGGAAACACATAGGACAGCAGTGGTAAAATACTATACGAAGCAATAAGAAATGTTTCATTACATTCGATTAAATACGCATACTACACTGTGAATCAGTGTTTCCCAAAACTTTGAGCCAAGGCACGCATTTAACTTTAGAAAAATCTCACAACAGACCATTAAATAAAAAGTATCCAAACTGAACTACTGATAACCACTCTCAGTTTACTAACAAATTCACTGAACGTGAAATTTTTGGGACTTTTCCAAATAAAACTTCTGCCATCCAGTGGAGTAGAATTGAATTGACCTCACTGAATCAATATGTCACAGTGGACTACCCGGTCGGCAACCCGCAACAACGGAGATGCGCGCAACATCCTTGTGTTGCGGCTCTGCGTGGCTTGGGAAAATAAATTAGAAGTGTTCGATTTAAGTGTATGGTATTTGTCTCAAAAACGTGGATCACTTCTTTCTTCAGACCTTGTGCAATTTCAATGATCAGCATTCGCCATCTGCAACACTGTAAAGATAAAGGTGACTTCATACAGCCCTGATTTGCAGACACTGGGCGCAGAGGTTCAGGAGCAGAAGTCCCAATGACCAGGTACAATAAATACTTAGGCAGTAATTTGGCAAATATTTCTTTCCCTGTTCATTGAAATTGTGCTGGGCGGCCCGGTAGTCCAGTGGTTAGCGCGTCGACTTCACAGTGCAGAGGTGCCGGGTTCGAATCCAGCTCCGGCCTCCCTGTGTGGAGTTTGCATGTTCTCCCCGGGCCTGCGTGGGTTTTCTCCGGGTACTCCGGTTTCCTCCCACATTCCAAAAACATGCATGGTAGGCTGATTGAACACTCTAAATTGTCCGTAGGTGTGAGTGTGAGCATGGATGGTTGTTCGTCTCTGTGTGCCCTGCGATTGGCTGGCAACCAATTCAGGGTGTCCCCCGCCGCCGAAGACGGCTGGGATAGGCTCCAGCACCCCCCGCGACCCTAGTGAGGATCAAGCGGTTCGGAAAATGAATGAATGAATGAATGAATGAAATTGTGCTCTTTTTTCCAGAGTACTTTTAAATCGGGGCAAAACTCCAAGACACGCTCCGAAAGTTGAAAGGATGATGGCTCACGGCATTTTTGTTTGCTAGAAGTTCAGCTCTAGAAATTTGCTCCAAGTTCAGCTTTTTAATTAAGTTACCTTCAACTTTGTGATTATTTTCATTTTTTTGTAAGAGTTCAAAAAGTGTTCATTTAATACATAAAATGTAATTTTCATGTTTGATTTGGAATAGTAGAATGCGCGGTGGCCCCTGTGCATTTGCGTGTACAGAAATAAAAACTATAATAAAGATTCAAAATTTTTTTGCTTGACTCCTTTTGTTTTTCACACAGTGCTATTATTCGGAACCCAAGCGCACATACAAATAC